TGTTTAAAATCACGTTTTATGCGTCCATTTACAACTTCAACCACCCATCGACACATTGTAACACAACTTGATCGATTTGCCTGTTCTGTGTTCGATGATTATTGCCTTCCAAGTGTCTCAGGCATATAAGCTTTATAGTCATAGCTGTGCAATTCCCCAACTACATGTCTGAAGCCCCTTTCTAAAATAAAAACATCCCCAGGCTTAAAATAATTTCTTAATACACTGGTTTCATTGCGAAATTCAGAGGACATAATGTCCAAATTACTTTTAGTTGCTAGGAATGGGCCAAGTGATAGTAAAATAAATCCATCACAGCAGACATACAAAAATATTTTTACCAAATTAACATATTTATGTAAGCTGTATGTTTGTTTTTGATAAGAATAATTACTACTACTTAGCACGTAGACGTAAGTACCATCACATATAACAATTGCTGGCTTGGTAGAAACTGGCATATCTGGGTTTCCAAATAGACCCCTGGAATGATTTTATTTCTACCTGCCACATTTTTTATTGATATGAGACCAAGTCCTAAATATAAGGGTATAAATGTATTACCCAAACAATGTCTAGCTTTTTATAAAGTGCTTCTAGGAAGTCGAAACAATGTTGATAAGCGTTTATTGCTGTCACCAGTTCTAAGTTTAACCAACATTATACTTAAAGCCACACTAAGACAAGGAGTTTCCGAAGCCAGCTGCGATACATGTGATAACAATTGCTAAAACTGTTCAGCTTTGATTCCTAACCAATAATGACAGAGGTGTGGATTTATTTCTCTAATATTAGAAAAGTCGTAGGGTAAAGATGCCTAATATGAGATACCATTTCCATTTTTGGGTATAAAAAAAACTGTTACATTTAAAGCTTTCTAAGATATACTTTTAGATAGAAAATTTAATGTACTTTAAATGTATATTAGCTATTTTAGGCTAAATTATATTATTTTTTGGCTATGCTGTAAAAAGTGAAAAATATCAGAAAAAAATTCCAAGGCAAAGGGCGCCTATTATGAGATATTAGGGGTTCTAAATATAAGATACTATCTTATATTAGGTTCCATAAATTTTAGGGGTCAACAAACAAAAAAAAAACAATATTAACGTCATAATCACATTTTTATTGTAGGTAACTTATTAATTAAATATTAAGACAAATCAGTCTTAGCAGTTTGGTACATTAATTATTAAATTTTAGACTAACATCAGTCTTCAAAATTTTTACTTTACTTAAACATAACAAAGATTTGAGCAGAACTCAGTTATCATAATAAAAATTAGCATTTTTAATACAATTTTAAAATAAAGGTTATCAAACAAAGAGAATATAATAAACAATAAAAAAATTAAAATCTTTTCTAAATTATTTTTTAGTCTTACCATGTCTTACACATCTAAACATAATGAACACAAAAAACGATTCGATGCTACATCTCCACAATCTTCATGAGCCCATTTAAAACAACTATCACATTTGGCCCATTTTTCTCCTCTTGTATCCTGCGAAAAGTTACCGCTACAGTAGGGACATTCAGCATCATATTCATCCCCACTGCTATCTGCCAGCTCAGGCATGTCATCGTCTTCGGAACTGGAACTAACTTCTTCAGCTTTTTTCTTTTTAATAGGTTTTTTTTTCATTGTCTGCTGTTTTTTAACTGATTGTTTCTTCTGTCCTTTCTTATTTTCTTTTTCTTGTTTTTTATTTAGGGATTCTTCTAATGACTTCTTATACGGAGATGCCGTGATTACCTATAGAAGCTGCTCCAGTTCGGGTTTTCTTAGAAGAAGAATTGTTCTTAGGTAGCCTGGGCACTGGCTTAAGTGCAAACGGGGAGACAGAAGACGATGTACTGGGTACTGGATTGTCATAAACACTAGCTGTTGAGGCTGTTTTAGAAGATGCTAATCCTTGGTACTCATCTGAAGGATTGTCATTTGTAATTCCGCTATTGGGTAAGATTTCAGTTGGCTCTGATTGGTTTTCAATCGAAGTAAGCACATAACTAGTATCTTCCAGATCTGCGTTCTCGTCATTTCTCTGAACATTAAGTAAATCTTGCTCTTCATCCCCATCATTAAAGATTGAAAACTCTTCGTCTGTAAAAATATGTCGATTGCACGGAAATAACCCAGCTTTGCGAAAACCGTTAACGGAGTTGGTCATGGTAGCAGCTTTTTCATAAGCCGCACCAAACAATCTAGCCACATATTTGTTTGTTAGAGTGCGCCCCGAATTATTACGCAGCCAAGTTTCAATTTCTTGGGAGTAGTAAGCTTTTAGTGGCTTCATAAATGCTACATCCATTGGTTGCATTCTATGAGTGCAGTGTGGCGGTAAACAAACTATAATTACGTTGTTGTCTCGAGCTAAATTAATAAGATCGATGTTTCTCGTGTGTGTGTAGTGGCCATCTAAAACCAATAAAACTGGATCATCTTTACTTGGCTTTGTAAAGTTGATAAAATGCTGAAACCACTTTGTGAATAGGTGTGTCTGGATCCAGCCTGACGGATGACAATCGCCAATGGAACCTGCTGGTGCACCATCCATTAGGTCTTGAGCCATATTTTTCCTTGGGAAAACTATTAATGGAGGCACGTAGGTACCACAAGCGTTCATACAGGTCACTATGGTCATGAGCTTTCCTCTTTCCAGAGATGTCAACGCACCGACCTGTTTTTTGCCTTTCATACTGACAACTTTGGAACGTTTATGTTGAACTACTGTTATTCCTGTCTCGTCAACGTTGTATACCCTATGTGGAGCGGATTTTATCTTATCAAGTTCAGGCTCGTACAAATCAAAAAAGTTGGCGACTGCAACTGGATTAAATCCTTTTACTCTAGCAGCAGAAACTGCTTCAGGTGTCCTAATAGATAATGTAGGATGTCTCCTCAAAAATCCACGAAGCCATTTTTTACCAGCAGAAGCTTTAGTAACACTGAAAGGATGCCTCAAATTATTTTTAATTGCCAATTGAAACGCCATGTATTTAATGTCCTGCAGACGTAAGCCATAAAATCTTCTATCCATTTCTTTGCAATACCTTTCCAGCTCGGCTTCTAAATCAATAGGCAAGGCTGGCCGTCTTCCCATACGAACCTGGACAAGATCTTCTGCGCGGACATCCTTTTTCACATAGCGCTCAAGGGTACCCTTAGGAACACCAAATTGTTTCGCTGCTCTTAAGTAACCCATTTCTTTTCTTCGTACTGCATTCACAGCCTGTATCATGGCAGCGTGGTCCCAGGTCTTTCTTTTGATGGGAGGCATCTAAAATAAAAAAATATACGGTTTAACCCAACACCCATGATAATTGTTCTTTTTGTGTACCATAATATGAGATATCTCAATTTAGGAACCCTAGCATATCTCATATTAGGAAAACAACAGTTTTAGAAAATGGCTGCCTTTTTTTTTGTTTCCAAAAGAAAATACAATTTAACTGCATTCATAACTTAAAATTTACCATATAAGCTACAAACAAAACATAAATTAAATGCGTTTAACGTAATAATAAAGTTGTTACGTACCTTGTAAACATTTGATGAAAAATATTTGGTTTTACGATGTTGAAATAACCAACACGCACACGTTCTTACATTGCCGTTAGCCGGCGCGAACTGACAGACGTTTAGCACTGTTGATGTGTCAATCCGAGCCACACTAGCGCCAAATGACTGACGTGAGTAGTTTGACCAATATCTTCCTATCTCATATTTAGCGCCTATCTCATATTAGGCATCTTTACCCTACTGTCTGCGACTACCATTATCCATAATTGACATCATGCCATCCATTTGGCCCCCAGTAAAATCAGCATAATGAAACTGTAATTCATTCCAAGAGCCAATACTAAGATGATAAGTGCCCGAAGCACTAACTGGTACGTACATGCATTTAATTTGCTCTAATAATAACATTTCCTTTATAACAGATGGTACCAGCAAACGTTCTGTATTCATACAATGCCGTGATTATGCGGCTGCTCGTTTATAAATACGTGAGATTATTTTAGGGCGGTGTGTAACATTATAATCCAGATGCAATTGCTGAATAGGTTGTGGTCGTGAGTAATCCATTGAAGGCACAGAAGTTTCTGATGCACTTTCCACTTCTCCACTTGATGTAGGAACAACTACGTTCTCTTGTTCTGCAATGGCTTGTATATGAACAAACTGCTGTTGCCTATCTTGATCATGCTGATTCTGTCTCCTGACACTTCTATAGGCATTAGTCCAACAACGTAAGCAAAATTTTCCTAGCCGGTATAACTAAAAAAGAAAATTGAAAGCTTTAACCTTGCTATAAGGATTTCAAGCATAACTTTTATATACCTAACAAATAATGTTATGTGAAATATATGACAAATACAAATGATCAACTTGAAAATGTCACTTCTAAATTTCTTTTTTTTACTAATAACTGCAAATGTTTGCGGTTTTTTGGCAAAGTGCCACAAAGATTAGTTTTGCGACTGAGCAAGTATTCAGCTAATGGTATACTTGCATACCAATAATCTGGCATAATCATTCTCCACCACCGACCACCACAATTAGCAGTAATAGATTGCTCAGCGTATAAGTTTGTCTGTTGTACCATCAAGTCTAGGATTTCATCATCAACCAATAAGCGAAATATCGCATTTTCAGAAATTTGATCAATATGTAAAAAGCTTTCACTAGTAAAATCTTCACGATGAAAATGCTGGATGGCATAGTTCTAACCTTCATTTTCGTCTCGTCATTTGGTTGGTCTTGAAACTGAAATTCTTGGAGCAGAATATATCTTGTGTTCATTGCATCGCTACTAACACTATCGCTAGAATCTAAATTCAGTGTGCTAGAAGTTTGTTATGGTACTTCAGTAGCAACAAGTGTACTAGAACTTGGTTGTAGCGGAGCTTCATCGTGTATACTATTGTCATCATTTATGTTTACCTGGTCATCCGGTGATCCGGTGGCTTCTAAAAGATGAAATGTCAGACACACTTGGAAAAAAAATCGAGGTCCGCCACATTGTCGTCATCATACAATTTTTCTACACTCTCCGATAAATTTCTTTTTCATAATCACTTTCTTCCAATATTTTTCACAGCTGCTCGTCGATATACGCTGGTTTACGGATCATTTTACATAAAGAAAAAATCGTTACAAGAGTACTCGAGGAATAAATCAGTGAATGATTTGAACTGCCCTATCTGAAATTTCAATAAAGTCATGTCAAATGTTACAAACTGTCAATGTCACTAGATATTTTTGTTGCCAAACGATAAAAAATCGTAATAAAACGGAAAGTATACGCAGACCAATAGGGTCTGTGGACTCACGAAGTAATTTTTGCCGTCCTGGAGGCGCTACGAGTCCAGAGGTCACATGTGGTCTGTGTTAAAAAAACTATTTCAGTAGAGTATACAAATTGTGTAACATATACATGCATACATTTTAATCCTAAATAAACTGACTTTAAATAAAAACATAACTGGACTTATGGACCATTCCCACTCTGGAGCCTGGACAGTGAACCTGATATCAGTGAAATGTGTTTCTGACGGACAACTTTTATTTCTGTTTTATAAGACTTTATTCTATTTACATGCAAAAAGCTTGTAATATTTATTATTTTTATAAGTGTAATCTTGACCAAATCGTAAATTGTTTATTTGTCAACTGAGATTAAGAAAAACATTGAACCTATACAGAAATTAAAATTGCGACTTGCGTCATCGAGGATTTCGTGTCGCAGGCGTCGGTTTTCGTGGTTAGCGTTATGGCCACCTCTCGCTGTTTGGACGCCGCAGGCAACGCGCGTTTCGCGCATGCGTATTGATGTTCGGGAATAATCGTGAAGGTTCGAAAATTACGTTGGCCGTGCGGAGTTGCGGCGAGCGTGCAAGCGCGAGCGAAGCCTAGCTCGGTAATGTTCGGCTATGTTCAGACGGCCATGTGCCGGGAGAGCGGGAGCCCATCTACTACTTTCTCTAACACTGCTGGCTCTCGCTTTGCACCCTCCGCCTCTAACCCATGCGGAGCGCCCCCGCTACTTGGTAAGCCTTACGGTGCCTTCCTCTCTTACGTTTCCCCTGAAGAGGACCTTGCGCACGGAACCTATAAATGGTGTTAACAAGGATGCATAGTATTTTCCTAACAAAATCCCATCACTGATGCGTTCGAGCGCATAAGTAGAAAGTCGCACAATCTCCTTAATGCGGTACGGACCGTCTCGCCAGGGAATAAACTTCACCATCTGTCCTTTACCTGTGTCATTGGGTCCATAGCGATACAATATTCCTTCGGCAATGACGTATCCCTTATCAGCCCATTCCCTCCCCCTAAATGTACCGTCACACTCCATCGCGTCTATGATCTTGCGCACCTCGGTGTGTATTAATTGATTCTCCCCGACCTCACTTGGGCTGCGTGAAAGCAGATCCATTACAGTGAGACACAACTCACAGTCGGTATCGGTGGGGCAAGCGGGGCGTGAAAGGGTATCTGCGATCACGTTCGCCTTTTTAGATTATACTCCTGTAGGGAGTGCTCACCTCGCCAGGCGACCACTCTATGATTTCAAACCCATCACCCACCTGAGGGGTTGGTGATCAGATTTGATCAATACCTCTGATCCATCTATATACCCTCAAAACTTCGAGACTGCCCAAACCACGACCAGAGCCTCGCATTCGGTGGTATTGTAGTTCCTCTCTGCTGACATGTGGAGGCGACTGGCGTACTCTATGGGTCGCTCGTCGGTCCCCTCCCCCTGGAGTAATGCCGCTCCTATAGCATAACCGCTGCTGTCAGTTCTGAGTACGAAAGGATTCATCACATCAGCCTGACGAAGAATCGGTGCGGTCACGAGGAGTCACTTAATGGTATCAAAAGCGGAAAGGTACTCGTCTCTTTCAGCAATGTAGTCAGAGGCGCGCTGACCTCAGCATAACCTTGTATGTACCGCCGCAACCAACTTGATGCCTGTAAGAACATTTAAGGTGTGTCACGTTTTGAGGTGATGACATATTAGATATGGCTACCGTCTTATCAGGATGCATTTGAATCCCTCCTGGTACGATAACATGGCCTAAAAACTTAACAGACTTCCTCGCGAAATGGCTCTAGTAATTAAACCGCGATTTAATAAGGTCGCTCGGCTGGGTGTCCGCGTCGTCCGCGGCATAAACAGCGCGCATAGCTCGCGTGTTTGGCATAGTAATATTTAATGTAGTGTTCGTTTTGCACTTTACGCGTGAGTACCATATATTTTATTAGCGATCAACACCACCCATGCACACATTGTAACCGGGTAGTATTGAGGGCTTCAGTACGTCGCCACACTTCACCGTTGCTAACCCATGGTACGTCGAGATAAAAGGAGAAACGAGTTTCTAATCTCGACATACCACCAGATCGACATCGCCTAAAGTGCAGCCACAAACTTGACCTACAGCCAAAGCTCCCTTTGTCAAATTAGTCAGGTGCCAACACAGTCAAATCCCCGTTCCTTTAACTCTCGCGCAAGCGCAGTAGACTTTCAAAAGTTATCCATCAAGACCGTGTGGCCCTTGGGCTCAAGACCATTGAGAAGTTTAAGCACAACCCCAGACAAAGGCTTATCTCGTGGAGATTCATCATGCCTTACGTGCACTTCATACCGCCACAAGTAGCCAGACTGGGACTAACAAACCAAAATTTTGGCAGTAAGGCACAGTTTTAATAAATTCTTAGAAGACAAAACGAAGCGGAAGCTAGGGTCATTTTCTAAAATATGATAAGCTATCACAAAAACTTTATTTTCATCGTCAGGAACATCTGTGCGGTTAATTATCCATTTGTCTAACTCTCCTACGTGAATTGAGGACGGCCCATACTTTATACGCCTGCGATCTGCCGAATAGTTGTAGAGCTGCTGCCTTGTAGGTATTTTAAGTCCATCTATCTTCTTCAGATTGTGTAAAATGGCTTTCGGCTTTAAGCAGAGGTCGAAAATCTTGTTAATTTCCAATTTAGTTTCGTCGCAAATACCAAAACTGTAACTACTTTTGATGGAATCGTGGTTATGCTCGCAATCAGTGCGATAGAGTAATACCGCGTCCGAGTTCGCCTCAAATAACAAATACATCAGTGCAACACACTGCTCTCCCTTGCGTGGTACTTTATTGCACCTATAGAGGTAAAACCGTTTTTTTTTCATCTAGCGTCATATGAGTAGTTAATATTGACCAAGTATTTTCTACTTTTACGACTTCTTCAGCGGCACGAACATTCAAATATTTCTCCACAAACATCCAATTCGTAGATTCACCACGCCTTTTCTTCACCTCCTGAACGTCTTCCAAGTCTTCATCAGAACAGTACAAAGGGACTTCATTATTAGACGACATGCTTAATAAATACTTTCATACAAATCCGTATCATAACCACTACCACAAACGTTTTTCAAATAAGAATACGAGCACTCCTTAATCGTGTCATTAATGTAAACAAACACACGTGAACTCGTTGCTGCACGCACCGAATAGAGCTCGCTCATTGGTGCAAATGGCCGGTCGCGCCCCTCTGATTCCCAACGAGCGTCAGGTACACTCCCGCGCTTGTGTTGCAAACTTTCACGAAAAAAGAATATGATTTATTAATTTAGTTGTTGAATGAAAAGCTTTGATTGCTAATTTTGAGGCTGGAATTTAATTTTATTAGCAGACAGATGTTGAATCTCTAAAATATATAAAGTAGCTCACTTACAACATTAGTCG